CCTTTTTATAACCCGATAAATGGTAGACCGACTGATTTTTGTCAGGATACAAATTCTGTTTAAAATTTCATTTTGCAAGGAATCTGGATTTTCGTTTTTCAGACAATCATACATATTTAGGATTACTCTTTGGGTCTGTTCCTCTAAATCTTTATGAAAGAATTCTGCCTGCACAGGTTCATCAACCATCTCCTCGTGGCTTGGAGCATTTTCCCAAGGTCTCCAAAGAGCCATATTTAGGACACACAAGAATCAACACAACAATTAAATCAACAAGTAAACTGAGTATACAAAAGTCAAAAACACAGAAACTAATAAAATCTATGAAAAAACACGGACAGACTAAAGAAAACACGTTCATTCACCGCTACACGGCACTGGCTAAACTGTTTCAATTTTCAGTAGCCACCTGCACTTGTTCGGAGCTCTGAAATACACGCTTTCTCATTGGCTATGTCCACGCATAGGCGTGCTTTACTCCACGTGGACCGGTGAAACTGCCTTTGATCTTATACGGGGGATATTTGCTGCGAAATTTGGCGATTTTTGCAGCAACATAGCGTGTTAAATATAGATATATAAAACGCACCCGGTATTTCACAGTGTTTCAAGTGACTTCAGATAAAGTATACACCTTAGCAGGTACGCTGGACTTGAAACTAAGATACTGCCTTCCAAAAGGCGTAACAGCCACCAGGCTTAGAGACAGTTGGGGCGCAAGGTATCTCAGATGCCCTAAAGTTATTTGTCTCCACATAGCACAGTTTTCAGATGTACATATATCTGGCATATTACATGTTTTTCCCAATATTACATTCCAACATTGGTATTTCGTATATCTTTCAGAAATATCGATTTTGTGATAGGTCGCAATTTATGTTTGAGAAACATTACTGAAATGAGGGGTTAAACTATTTATTATATTTAGATAAATAGATCTTTTCAAAATATCGGCTAATTTCGTCCACGACAATATCAATGTAATAAGTATACGTATGCACATCAATGGGTGTAGTTGCGACGAGAAAGTAAAAAAAGTGTTTTCTTGGCAAAAAAACGGAATCGATAAGTAGTAATAGTAGTATAAGGTAAATGCCGTCCCAAGGTCAGTGGTAGATCAAGGATCTTTGAGTCATGAAAAACGTCTGTTATTGTATTGGGCGCGCACACACAACATGTTTTTTGTGGGCATAGTTCTATATTACAACTTCTACCACAGCCGACGTCAACTACGAGCCGTGAACAAAGAAATCTGGCAACGTAGGTGGTAGTGTTACTCTCGCCGCTCAAAACGCTGAGAAAACATAACCTTTTTAATTTGTGATTTGGGAATCGCAGAGGCTTATTTTCTAAGCTTCAAAGTGTGTGTATGTGTTCAAAGTGATCGGTGACTATAATATATGAGAAATAGACTCCAGTTGTAGTGCTTCTGTGCTTTAAAAATAAACTAAGAAGTGTGACTGTGGCTGTTCGCGCCTCAGGACGCTAAGGATTTCAACTATTGAAAACGTGCAAATTCAGGTTGTATTTTTCTTTTTTCATTTATCAAGTATTTGATGCAGACAATATGCCTCGTTGTTGCTGTGTTCCTTTATGCAATGCAAACTATAATTCTGCTTTGAAAACAGAAAGCTATGTTTCAACTTTTCGCTTCCCAAGTACCGGAAGTCTGAAAAACAAATGGCTTATGGCAATTCCCAGAAAAAATTGGACACCTTCAAAATATTCAGCTGTGTGCAGTCGTCATTTTAGAGAATCGGATATCATCAGGACAGAAAATATAGTTTTGGCGGATGGAACAGTCCAAAATAATATACCTTTGAAATATCCAAAATTGAAAGAAAATGCTGTTCCCTCCATTTTCCCAAACTTGCCATCATATCTTTCAAAAACTGAAGCACCCAAAAGAACTGACCCAATGCAAATAAAACAAAAATTAATTGAGAAACATGAAAAAGCTATCCAGAATTTCGATGATATGGATAAGATCAAAGACTTTCAAGAATTACATTCTTCATTTTCAAAAATTAAAGCCTCACAGAAATGGAATAATAAATTATCTGATGGAAAGCTATATTTTTATAAATTGGATTTTGAAAATGATATATCTTAACTTTGAATACACAGATTATAGTTGATGGTCAGATGGAAGTTCAGGTTGTTCAAAAAGGATGTAAGCTTTCTTTTAGTGACTTGAAGTGGGTTTTGCCATATGATCTCAAAATTACCAGATGGTCCCAATTAGAAAACCTGCTAAATAGGTATTTTTTCTATTTTTCTGAGAACCAACAGAAAAACTCTGTTGAAGTTTGCATCATGAATGCATTGGAACAACTTGACACAGCGATTTCCATAATTAATAATGACTCAGTTATGTTTCCATATACAAAAAATCTAGAGATTATTGCTGATCAGCTGACACAAATTCAAAACAGGAAAAACAGATATATGCATCACTTTCAATAATAATGGCTTTTACGTTTTATAACCACTCATCATCAACATATAATTTAATTAAAAGATTTTCTATTTTGCCAAGTAAGCGATACTTACAACATATCTCCTCAAGTATGGATATATCTCCAAAAAATGATAGGAATAATGAACACTACCTTTCGAATATAGCAATTAAATTAGCTCCAAGAGAAAAAATTGTAATTTTGATGATCGATGAAATTTATATAACATCTAGGTTGGACTATCGCTCACAAAACATTGTTGGGTATGCCTGAAATAAAAATGACATGGCTAAAACTGTTTTATCCTTCATGCTATCTTCAGCATTTGGAAACATAACAGAAATTATCAAATTACTACCAGTTTCAAATCTAACAGGAGATGAAATGACACCTTTGGTTGAACATGTGATAAATTTAGTTCAAAAATGTGGATTTGAAGTTATTTGTGTTGTTACTGATAATCACCGAATTAATAGAGCAATGTTCAGGAAATTAGCAAAGGATTCATCAGAAAATTATTCTATTCCAAATCCACATAATCCTGATAAGAACATATATTTAACTTATGATGTTGTGCATATTTTCAAGAGTATCAGAAATAATTGGATTAATTTAAAAAACCTAGACAAAACTTTTGTATATATCCTAATTTTGACAATAATGATATTATTCAGTATGCTAAATTTGAAAACATTCGTGCTGTATATCAATTGGAAAAAGAAGCTGTAGTTAAGAAAGCATATAAATTAAATTATAAAACATTGCATCCAAATTCATTTGAAAGACAAAATGTAAATTTTGTAGATATTTTATTCCATCACTCAACAATAGCTGCTATGAAAGAATTAAAGTTTAATGATGCTGCACACTTTTTGGAAATAATCAGGAATTGGTGGGATATTGTCAGTTATACAAGTGTAATAAAAGGAGAATTGAGGCGAAACGAATTTTGTAAGCCTATTACCAATAAATATGATTATAGAGTACAATTTTTAAAAAAATTCCTGATATGGTTAGAAAAATGGCATAATCTAGAGAATAATAATGGACACCTGACACCAGAAACGTATACAGCTCTATATCAAAGCACGCTGACTCTACTTAATATAATTGAATATTCATTTAATCAATTTGACATTGAGTATGTATTGCCTGGAAAATTCACCACTGATAATTTAGAAAAACGATTTGGCAATTATAGACTTTTATGTGGCTGCAATTACAATGTGTCATATGGGTGAATATCAGTTATTGGGGAATTCAATGTTCCTGCAAAAAAATCTTAATCCAATGGACAAATTGTGGAAATAGACCATTCAAATAGTGGAAGATGTCAATCTTTATTTTGAACATATGCCGAAATTGAGGTAACCATTAAGATTTAGGAAAAATCTGATTGAAAGTTAACAAAATGTATACTCCCCTGGCATGTTCCATTTCCAAATTTCACTACAAACATCAACAAATCTCTGTATTATGTACTGGTATAACAATAAGCGGATACTCTTTGTATTACCTAATACAACTGATAACATATTTTCGCAAAAAGGCACACTAAAAATATACATAAATGCGTAAAAAATCCCGTTTATTAGTGGTTCCTGAGAACAGTGTCACCCTCACCTGGCGCAATTCAAATTGCATATATTCATCAAAATATGGCAACTATGCGACTTGAAGTTGAGCAGCAAGTAGCAAATGAAGAAGGGATAGTGCGAAACTATCGTAATTTGGAAAACGAAGACCAGGGACGCGTCAGTAGCCCACTAACAGTCGTCCGATACCCTTTTGCCAGTGAGTGAAGTATTTCCCCTGGTAAGCATATCTTTGTGAATTTAAAAGTTACATTTTGCGACTTTATAAAAAATTAAGATTTTTGAATACAAAAGCCACGAATCGCGTTAAAATAATATAATAATCATGATATCTTGCTTTTTGGGGGCTTACGCACGTTTTTGTCACTTCCCTGGCGTCACTCCCCTGGCAGTTTTTATGTCAGGGGAAATACGCACTGCCCAGGGGAAATACAAAGGCACCTTTTTGTATAAGATGTGTAGCTACTATACCAAATTCAACTTCAAGAGGCAGTAGATCTGAAATAGGTCAGGCATGAGGGGCCGGGCCAGACACGGCCAGACGCCTAAGGCCGTTTTCAGTGCTCAAACGCTCATTGTCAGTGTTCATACCAATCTGTTACATCAATCAGCGGGCTGCACCTAAGAAGTTGCCTGGCCCAGTTTACGGCTCTGAGCGGCCTGCTTCCTGCTCTTGAAGTTGAATGTGGTATAGACACTATTTCATTAATTTCAGATAACAAAAAAAACCATAACACGCTAAAATGGCAAAATTATAGAAACGCAAACCCGAGAGGAAGGATTGGAGAAAAAACGCCAAGCAGAAAGACCAAGCGACCAGCGAATTAAAAATGATCCAATCAAGAATGCTGAGTTAAAAGAAAAAGAAAAAGAGAAGTATCACAGAAAGAAGGAGAAAGTACAAGTTAGAAGTATAAAAGATCTGACAGATAGGGAATAGCGAGCTATGAGAAAGATATGGAGAGAGCAAACTGAAAGATATAGGGATCGTGTGAGGCAAAAAACTATTGTTAATTATCCAGAGCCACCGCCGCCTTCGGACCATGAAGATCCACACTTCGATCCTCAAATATTGGACAATAGAGCTTCAGGTGCCGAAAGACCCCCAGAAAAACAGAGGAAACGGATAAATGAGCTTATCAAAAAACAAAAAAACGAAATTGATCGATTAAAAAACAAGGCGAAGAGATTTCAAAGGAAACTAGATCACGTAAGAAGTCTAAAAATGTCACCAAAGTCGAAAGTGGACCGATTACTAAAAAAAAAACAAAACCAAGTAATCAGGAGAACGTGGAAGAAGTTAAAAAGCATCTGTCCTTCAGTAAGGTAGTTCAAAATCAACTAAAAGAAAATATAAGGCATACCAAAAAGAAAAATGAGAAGACACTGTTTCGTAAAGTATTGAGTGGTAGGTTTGTTAGAAAGTACAATCTTTTAAGTCAAATTGATATGAAGCCTGTGAAACGATAACCCACTGTGGGAGAGGTTTGATAGACGTGACAAGGAGAACAAGAATGAATGAAACTAGAGAGAAGATAAAGAACGTAATTAAAATTTTTTTGAAGGAGACTGCAACAGTCGCTTATGCGCAGGAAAAAATGACTACATTACGAAAAACAAAGTGAAAAACAAAAGAGGGTTTTACTAGACTCAATGAAGCATTTACACGCACGGTTCGTTAAAACCAAAGGAGTGTCGATAAGTTATACTTCATTTTAACGTTTGAGACCTTTTTGGATTGTATATCCAAACGTTCATAGAAGAGAAACATGCTTGTGTGTAATTCATGCAAATATGCAGTTGATTTTGCTCTCTTTAAGAAGAACGAAAATTATAGGCTTTATGAGTTTTCAAGCAATGCTAAATTACTTATGTTTCTATCGCATGACATTTCCGACATAAAGTTGGAAAAGTATTAGAGAGACTGCCGGTGCCAAATATAGTAATGAGAGGAGATAGATTATTTTATAAATTCAGAACTCCTATACCTACCTGTATTCGAAAAATGAGTATCTACTCGAATTCATAAAAAATCGGGTTATACCCATGTTAATTTTATTTTTATGCTAGCTACAATTTTTTATTTATAAGCACTGATTGCGATTCAAAGACTGTATTATGTCAATTTTTTGTTTTAAGTTTTTATAATTTTATTTCTATTATTATTATTATTATTATTACTCAGGTACCTACATTGCTATCTATATTAAGTTGCAAGATATAAACAGCTATAGTGGTTTTTATTTATATTAGTTCTTGTGTGAGCAGGGTTCACTCAGTTGATCCAAATGTTATTTTTTAAGAGAATATTAGAACATGTAGGATTTTGTTATTTTCAATAAAAAACTATTGAACTTATTTACCTATTAATGTTTATATTCTTTTATAAAGTGTCCTTTAAGATCATTCACATGAGAAGTTGTCACTCTTCTGTCTCAGTTTGTCACTACCCTGTGTATAGTGTCACTCCCCTGACTACGCATTTTCCCCTGGTAGCTGTAAAATCTCTAAAAATCAAAAAACTATCTGGTCCTGTCAAAGATGCATCACAAATAGTATAATCTTAAGAGGTAATGAATATGAAACTGAAATGAGTAATTTTTCTTAGGTACCACTAAAAACCCAAATACCTGATATTCACCCATATGATGAAATTTTAAATGCTGAAAAGAAAATACGGCTGAAGCATATTTTCAATGAAAAGAAATCGTCATTTTCTTTAGCAGAAATTAAAACAAGGTTCCAAAACTGCTTAGAAACTCAAGAAAATTTTGATTTCTTGGATACCAAACAAAATCCTGAAGTTTTGGATATATTCAATGAAGTATTTGAGACAAATTACTTAGCCAATTGTGACATAGAGGATAGTACTAAGACTTATATATCTGGATATGCTTCACACGCTATCTCTAAAAACCTAAACTGCGAGATATGCAAATCGCTAATAGTTAAAGAAAAAGGTTCATTAACAACAAATGTTTATTTTGATCATTTGCAAAGAGGAGGACTGTCAATTCCAACCAGTTATGTACCAATCATATTCTACCATATGTATGCCATTTTTGAATCTATTATTAATGTAGATAGATTTGAAATTTTCTTCTTGAAAAGCAATAATCAAAAATTTATTTTGTGTCAGTTAACCTTGCTCAGCATTCAGTCTGACTTTATATACAGTGAATTTTCTACAATGTGCATACTGGTCGCTCTTTCATTCTATTTTTTGCCGGTTTTAAGTTTGCCGGTAGCTTTATTTGAGTATTTCTTAGTCGCCGTAAATATAGTGTGGATGTTTGTTAAGTTCCTGAACAACCAAAAAATATTTGATTTTATGGATTTATGGATATCAAAAATCCTGAATGGTTTTGTGGAAATATCAATCGACGGTGCTACTCGTATAATGGTTACTGATGAACGGCAACTAAATGAATGAATCTTTGGAAACGAGCAATATTTAGGAAATTTTTGGTAGAGCCTATCAACAAGTAGGTGCTTAATGGCTATCTGCAAGAGGTTTATAGGAAAAAAACACACGGTAGGTGATGTTGAATCAGTAAAATCTCATATCAATTGAAGGAAATAATATAAACATGAATAAACAATCGACAATATTAAATAAAATCATGAGTTTTATTCAAAAATCGAACACTTTTAAATTTTGACTAAATTATATGTAATTTCTTAATATTCAATAAGTTGGTGATGTCTCAATGACAAGCTGTCACCTCATACTCTGACAGTATTATGTTTTCAACATTTCGTAGCTTTTGGTTGCTAAAATTTGTTGATTGGAGATTGAAGCTCATTCACTGTACTTGAGGGACTGATACCCTATAGGTGGAGAATAACTGTTGATTTTACAATCCTGGTGAAATCCACCCTAAAACTATTATTTATTTTTCATTTTTTAGTTCGATTTATCAATTATTCTTTTGAGGACATTGGTGAAAATTATGCTCAAAGATTCCGTTAAATACATACAGCCAAGCTAATTAAAGCGTGTTAAAAATCAGCTATTACGGAAGCAAATTGTCAGCAAAAGTGCATTGTTGATTGGCGCTGAACTTATTTGTATGTCTCCCAAGGATTCAACGTCTACGAATGCAGCTGGTTCATTTTCGATATCTTCATTGAATAAAACTTAACATGATTTCTGTGGCGTTGGCGGTTGAGCAAACACGGCTTTTTTTTCGAAGTCAAAAGTGCGTATACGATTCAAAGGTAACTAAGGTTACTAGAAATTTGACCAAACAAAACTGAAGGGAACTAGGATTGACAGATGACTTCACGGAACGTCACTGGCGCGGAATTTGAATATTCCATGTACTGTACGGGGGATGTCTTTTAAGTTTTGTATATAGAAACATAGTAGGCCGCGCGGATCGAACGTCGGTACTGAATCTTAAACCTCACTCTTTAGTACACTTAAATTCAAAAATGGAACTCAACCGAGAACATTTTCGCGCCATAATTTAACACAACTTTCAGAGACAATTATCGCAACAAGAATGCCTTGCTGAGTTACTGTCTGTTTTCGGCAACGAAGCGCCACATCAGACGACAATTTCCCGTTGGTATGAAGAATTCAAACGTGGAGGGGTGAGTCTTAGCGACGATCCCAGGGTGGGTGCACCAAGAACGGCAGTCACCCAGGAAAACGTCGATGCTGTGCGCAAACTCATCATTGAAGATACTTCGAAAAACAATAAAGTCATTTAAAACTGCCTAACGTGTTGTTTCATTTCCATATGCAAAATTTAAAAGACATCCTCGTATAATACAAAACTTACCAATAAGAAACGCCCAGCAAGATTCAAAACTCAAAATACATGAAACGTGGTGCACCAGAATGCCATCCGCAGTTAACCGCAAGTATCGAACGTAATCGATTTTTTACCATGCATTGTGTTCATCTCGGTAAATATGTTTTAATGCTCGAGCGATTTATATTAATTCGTTCAGGAAATTAAACGACTTATTAAGATAAATGCCGTTAAGCAAACCGATCGCTTTTCTCGACGGGCAACTAACCTGCATGAATAAGCATTTCTGATATAATTGGAAGAAATGACTATCGTTTAAAATTTCGATACGCCAATTTCGTGAACGTCTTAGTAGCGGTATTAATTATTTACGTATAGAAAGGTTGTTAACAATCGTCCTTACAAGTAACAAAGAGATAGAGAGGTTTACGAGGGTGGTCCCAGAAGTACCCGGTCTGAGCTAGAGATGGCGATAGTTGTTTCAAAAATATCATTGTATTAGAAAGTATGCAACCTATAAAGCATCTGTGCCAAGTTTGAAGAGGCCACGTTGTTTATATTTGTGTGGCAGCCATCAATACTGAACGTTTTCAGAGAATTTGTGAAAATGGAGAAAACTACTCTGGGTGAGTCTGCTTCTTCGTTTACAACAGTAAAATATTGGGTAGCAGAGTTTAAACGATGCCGTATGAGCTGCCAAGACGAGCATCGCAGTGGTCGACCAAATGAGGTGACGACTCCTGAAATGGTGAAGAAAATTCACAAAGCGGTACTGATTGATCGTCGACTGAAAGTGCGCGAGCTAGCAGACATAGTAGGCATTTCAAGAAGTGCGGTTCATCGCATATTATCTGAAAATTTGGACATGAAAAAGCGATGCCGCGATTGCTCACAATCGAGCCAAAACAGTGTCGTGAAGATGTTTCAGTTGAGTGTTTAGCGAAGTTTCACAGCAACAAAGCAGAACTTTTGCATCGTTTCATAACCATGGATGAAACATGGGTCCATCACTTCACACCCGGGACAAAATAATGATCAAAACAATGGACTCAAAAGGGACAACCGGCTCCAAAGAAGACGAAGACCGTTTCATCTGCAGGAAAGGTTATGGCGTCGGTTTTTTGGGATGCGCGTTGGATAATTTTCATTGACTATCTTGAAAAAGGTAAAACTATCAACGGTGAGTATTAAGCGAACTTATGGCAACGTTTGAGCGGTGAAATCAGGCAGAAACGACTACATTTGGTTAAGAGGAAAGTCTTGTTTCATCAAGAAAATGCATCTGCTCACAAATTCGTTATTGCAATGGACAAAATTAACGAATTAAAGTTTGAATTGCTACCTCATGCACCCTATTCACCAGATTTAGCCCACTCGGATTATTTTCTGTTTCCAAACTTGAAAAAATGGCTCAGTGGTCAAAGATTTTCCAACGATGAGGAAGTGATGTCGGCAGTTGATGGCTATTTTGAGAAGCAAGACAGTTCTTATTATAAACAGGGCATCGAACTTATTGAACATCGCTGGGAAAAGTGTATAGAGCTCAAAGGGGATTATGTTTAAAATA